GAGAGAGAGAGAGAGACTCTTCTCCTTGTCTTTTCGTTATCTTTACTGCATCTCCAGCCCAGTCCTTAACAAATATTATCAGTTGTCACCATTTGAAAGTGAAGTTTGACTTGAAAATAATGGAATATAAGAAAGTTTCAGTGTTCGATAAAAAGATGAATATTTTCCAGTCAACACAATATGAAGGATTAGCTTACATACTTACCTGCCTCGACCTCTGGACCCAAACCTAGACCTAGATCAGCCCTTGGTCTAGACAATGACCTCAAACGTGTTCTGGAACTTGAGCAGGATCTTGAATTCTTCTTCAAGGAAGTTGTCGATATCTGAATATATTTATAATAAAAAGAATAGAGATGTCAAACACAAAATATTGTGCAGAGAAGAAGATACAAAAGCCTTCATACAAACTGGAACAAAGGAGGTGTACATCCATGTCAGTTCAAATAAACATATTTCAGGAGAACATATTCATTTATAAAAATAAAGATAATAGAACCAAGACACAAGACTGAGAAAAAAGCTGACAGCAACCAACAAGTATCTACCAGCGGGTAACCGCAAGCATCTGCGAGCTGTAACAAGTTAAACATAATTCACTCTCTTTATACTAACCAGAAAATTACTGTTGTAGTAAAATTCTTAGCTTATTACAGTGAATTTTTCGGGCTTCTGATCGTGGTATACCACGAAACTCCAATCCGGTACGTAAAGAGAGAATGTCGTGACCATGTAGATCATAAATGTAACAAAGCCACCCATCCTAAAAAGCGCAAAAATTAAATTGATGCAAATTTAACAATAATTTGCCGAAAGGGTAAAAGAGGAATTGAGGAAAGTTGTTTACCATTGCCATTTGTAGGCAAAGAAAATTGAGCAACGATCGGGTTCTAGGCTTGTCGACTTGAGCTTGGTGGTCAGAGTTTCTATTAAAGCCACAATAAAGTACACCAAAGTTATTCGCTGTTTGGACACGCACAATAAATTATAAGACACAAGCAAAGAGTGTGATTAAGGTTCTTAAATTAAATAAAACGAAGCTTCTTCTGACCTAGAGAATGCCGAACCATCGGATTTTCTTCATGTCGACTCCATAAGTTAAATGATCTGGTGCATGAGAATAACCTCCTGCCAATTGAAAAATTAATATCGATAACTAATAAACATCATAATCGAGCCTGGGCAAGCATGTTTGGAGACTACCAAATCAAATATTTATACCTCAATATGAAACCTTGCCTTCAATCAAATGTTATGGAAATATATCATAAAATACCTTGTAGCAGAATTCCCCAAAAGAGGAGCTTCAACGTCCTCAGAGTAATCTTTTTTAATGCAAAATCGAACCTTCAAATTCTCTGAAGAGTTGAACAATGATGGATAATTCTTTGGTTACAATTATTACATACAACAAATAGTTGAGCTTATTATTATTTCTTGAAAATTAGTTTCGAGGTATGCAAATTGGATAAAACTGAAGAAATTGTTACTTGAGAAGGTAAGTACAACTGGAATAGCTTTGGGTACCACATCACTGCCAGCGGGTAACCGCAAGCATCCGCCTGCTGGACAAAGGCGTTGCAGGGGCCACGCGGAGTTGCGGGCCCCCGACAAGGACGGGCTTCACGGCCTTGTTGACGAATTGGATGGCAGCCTCGACTACAGCCTCCAGGCCCAATGATTGCTCAGTCTAGAAACACACGGAGGTGACCATCAAAATCAGCCTAATTAATGAATAAGATTCTGAAATTTGAAAAAAAAAAAATCAAAATCAAAATCAGCATAATAAAGTAAGATTCCAAAATTTTGAATAATTCACAAGAAATTGATCTGAAACAGAGGAGGATGAGACTGTAGCTTACTTTGGGGAGAGCGAAAACGGAACAGGCTCGCGACTAAATGTTGGGTGAGGGATGGCCGGCAAGTTACAGCTCACGCTAATGTACACCGGCTTGCTCTCCTTTAACGCCGTCAAAATCGCTGTGTCAATCAGCTCGTGCGCATCCTCCAGATTATTCACCACCGCCTAAAATCAACAAAAAAATAGATGCGAAATTTAATTTCTGTACTATTTCTTCAGCCAAAATAAGCGAAAAAAAAGTGTGTAATCTAGCACGAACACGTGAACGAGGCTGATACACGGCTCCCTTGACCTGCTTGGACGCTCGTCAAATAGGAGCAAGCTGCTGCTAATTGTCACAAGAATCTCCTCGGTTCATGAACCTTAAATTTAATTAAATTATCAACATCTTGAACTTTCAAAATAACTAATTCAAATAGGCTATTAGAGAAGATCTGGTAAGATAGAATGAATTATATTATTGAAAACATAAACAAGTGAAGCGAAGGAAAGCTTCCTTCGAAGCTCCTTGTATCCCCAATCTGCTTGTCGAACAATAGCCCAATCGCGTGGAAGTTCTAGAGGCCGTCGGCCGTCTCCACATGAGGGCAAACTTCACATCGACGCCGCAGATTTGGTACAGAGAGTAGAGGATGGAGAGGGCTAGGCTTTATGGAAGAAGAGAACGGGAGTAACCGAAATAAATTCTTGCAGATTTTTTACCAGTTTTGTTGCTTGATAGCCGTCGCAGGTGCTCCTTGCACCGGCCGTAACCTGGTCGCCGCAGTGTTCTGTGGCTTTCGGATTTTTTTTTTTTTTTTAGATATGAGGGAGAAGATTTTTGGAGAGGATAGATGATTTTTTAAGAGGATTTTTAGATCTGATGAATATTAGATTGAGACAGAGAGAACCCAGGTTTTACGGCACGAAATCTATGGAAGAGCAGGAAAGATATGGCCAGCAGATTTCCTCTCCCACTATAGATAAAAGTCAAGTGACATTTTTCGTAATTACTAGGGAAATAAATATACTCAATGGTAAAACTGTAAATAAAGGAT